AATAAAGAAATATAACAAGTGCATAACACTAAATAATTTACTGATAATGTATACATTTTCTTGTTTGATTGTTCCTATATATACCTTACGTAATTATGAGTTTAGAAAATAACAAAAATTATCTTTTCATTAATAATTCAAATGAATTTACGTTATTAAAAAGTGTTCTAACTTACAAAAATATTTTGATAAAAATTCCAATTATCTGAAACATTCCTGATTGGAGGCGATCTCAATGGCCACGTTGGAGAAAAAACAGATGGTACATGGCGGTTTTGGCTATGGAGAACGGAATGAAGATGGCAACCACATCCTTCAATCTGGTGAAAAACACGGGTTTTGTTTACTGAGCATATATTTTAGAAAGAGGTTGGAACATCTCATAACATACAAAAGTGGACCATCCAACACGCCAATTGATTTCTACGCTGTCAAGCAACTACTCAAAAATGTCAAAGCGAATCATGTGTCGCCCAACATAGTCTCCTTGTGGCAGACCTGGTTGTCGAACTGTCACAACATAAGTCTAAACAAATGCCTCGGAGAATCAAAACGTGGAAGCTGAAAAGCAATATTTATCGAGAAAAATTTCAACAAATTGTCGCCACACAGTTAGACCACCAATCGCAAGCCAGTACAGATTGGAGTACATACAAAACCGTTTTGATAAACGCTGCAACTACAGTTTGTGGAAAAACTGGTACAAAACGCCAGCATGAACGGGACACTTGGTGGTGGAATGACAGTGTACAAAATGCAATAGCTAAATAGAAAACTGCACACAAGCAATGGCAAAAATCAAAGTCTGTAGATGACCATAAAATTTTCCGTGAGAAGAACAACTATGCAAGACGTCAAGTCGCACTGGCTCGGACAAATCAGTGCAGAGAGTGGCTCACTAAAAGCAAAGGTAAACAAATAAAATCTCTGTATCATAAAGCAAAACAAGCAAAGCGTACAAAAAACGACATAGTTGGTGCCTCATGTATCAAAAACGACAAAAATGAGATGGTTCTTGAACAAGATGAAATCAAGCTACAGTGGAGAGAATACTTCAATCGTCTGTTAAACGAAACAAATCCCATCAATGTTAACTTTGACGCTCCACCCATCGAATGTCCGATTCCAGACATCACTTTAGAGGAGTTTACAGAAGTTCTGAAAGCTATGAAGGATGGAAAGCTGCAGGGCCCTCTTGACTCACAAATGACATTATCAAAACATTTGGTACTGCATGTATCCAAACGTTACTAAAACCTTGCCGTGAAGTGTGGAAAAATTGCCGATTGAATGGAACTATAGCATGACTGTTCATCATAAGTGTATGTTAGATCACTCCCTGAAAATTGTCCAGAAATTATTTGAGAGAATATTAACGTCGTGCATCACAATCGGAAATTATCAATTTGGTTTCAACATTTGCAATTCACATCATTCGGCAAATGCAAGAGAAGACAAGCATCAACAACTATCACACATTTTTGTAGACCTTGAAAAAATTCCCCAAGAAGCATTCAGGTGGAGTATACGTCGACAACTTATTCCAGAATATTTTGTTCGACTTGTGATGAAAATGTATACAAATACTGTGACTCTCGTCAGCACAACGGTTAGAGACACAGATGTATTTGACATCGGCGTTGGACTTCACCAAGGCTCGATTCTCAGTTCACTGTTATTTATAACTGTGATGGAAGAAATTACAAAGCCGATATGAACTGATGACATTTGGAATCTAATATATGCTGATAATATCGTTTTAACAGCCACGTCTGAGCAGAATGCAGCACAGATGTTTGAAGATTGGTACTTTATCTAAAGTGTCTAATTTTGTTTGTCCTCCTTGCATCAATTCACAACAACAAATTCGAAATAGCAATGTTTTTGAAGCCATTAAGATAGAGAAAGTCACATCGTTTCAATATCTAGGAGATGTTCTGGATTTTACTGGAACAGCTGAAGCTGCCGTTCGAGCACGCGTACTTGCAGCCTGGAATAAATGGCATCTTCTTGCCTCTATATTGATGCGGCGTGACATCCCACTACCACTACGTTCAAGACTTTATAAACCTGTGATGCGTCCGGTGTTGTTATATGGAGCAGAAACATGGCCAATGACAACCAAGCTGGAACAACAACTTCAACGAACCGATATGAAAATGCTTCGATGGATGCAACGAATTAGTCTGAAGGACCACATCAAATCTATCAAAATCCTGCGTTGTGCTGGTTTAGCTGATATAAAGGACGAATGCAGGTTTTGTCATGTCAAACGAAGTAGAAACAGTGCCATAACTTTTCTTGCAGATGACCTGGCACACGTCCCAAAGGCCGCCCAAAGAAGTTCTGGTCGCAAACAATCGATCTAGACATTAAAGCTCTAAATTTAAATGAAATGGATACAATTGATCGTCTAATTTGGCGTAAAAAATTGATGGCAAAGAAAACAACGTCCTACCTCGGGGAACTGGGTCTCTGGACGCTAAACGAAGTTTGATTCATTGATAAAAATTCCAATTATAGTGTATGTTTGGTCTCAAAATTAGTTCTTTTGTATTCATATCGTCTTAAATTATCTCCACTGAAATAGTAACGCAATTAAAGTTACTCATTCAAATTGAGCCAACATCTGAAATAGAAACGTTTTTAATGTGACCCATCATTTAAAAAGTTTTCCGATAACTTTAAAGGTATAGACATTTTAATAATGAAGGTATGTTAAAAAAAAGTTACCGGTTTATTATCGAATACTTCTTCTTTTTCGTACTTTATATTTTCAGGACATTGTCTTTATTTCTTTATTTGCTTTTATTGATTACCATGAACTTTGTTTTGTTGATGTTAGTTTGTAAGCCTTCTCTTTACTTTCAAAAACGATTATGATTGTTTCAGTTTTTCCAATGAGTACTTTCAATAACCAATTTTATAACGATTGTGCAGTTTTTCCACTGAGTACTCCAGGAAGATTTTTTTTTCTTATGATTATTATAGAGTAACAACACCTTTCTTTATTTTGACAAAACTAGTCATCTTGTTACCAACTTTCATCGCTGCTCTTTGGTTATTGATAACTCTCCTGTCTTTTCCATCATTCTCCAAATTTTCCAATGTTTCCATACGTTCCATACGACGAATCATATAAATTCTTTTTTCATTTCATTTGCTCGTTCAGCAAAAAGAATTCGTTTCTTGTGCCACAATCCTCGACAAAATCACACTGAACATTTAAAATTTCAGATTTGATTTTGTAATTCAGATTGTTATCATTTTGTAAGATTGTTCGATGTATTATAGATCTTCATGAATTTCGAATTTCATATTTAGATTTATTTCCGTCTTTCGTCAGTAACTGAAAACGATTCCATATTTCAACGTTATATTTAACCTTCGTCTCATCGTTTTGTAACTGCTTGACAAAATTCAAAAGTCTTGTTGTCATTTCACTTTATTTTTTTTAACTTTATCCTGCTTTTACAAACAACTGGGGTCATGGTCACCGCCACAATCAGCTCCAAAGTAACTTTAGCATTTTGAAATCAGTGATATATTTAATCAAATTTCTTACTCTTTTTAGTATATTTTCGCCTGGGTGATTGTCAAACCTGGTGTTGGTAATTTCAATCAAATTTACTCTTCTTACATTTCTTTCATGTATCCTTGAGAACCAGCCACGCCATTAATTTTTCTGGACCAACTTTTGCAAACAGGTCACCCACCATAATAACTTTTTGAGATTTACATGTTTTTAAAGCATCATCAAGATCTCTCTAAAAAGTATCATGGTTTTCACTGTTTTAAGACGTTGGCGCATAAATTGGAATAACAGTTTGGTTGAACTGTTTTGTGTGTACTTTATTCAACAAAACTCTATCTGTCACCGCTAAGAAACCTTCTAAATGTTTAGACCATTCATTCATTCATTGTTCCTATTCCTAGTTTGTGTGAATCAGTTCCAAAGTAGATTAAAGTTGCCTTTTTCAAAAGTAATGATCTCATTTTTTCAATCGAGTATCGCTCAAACCTAAAATGCTGAGATTTATTCTCCTCATTTAATATTGTTTTACGTTCTCAAATTTTATATTAACGTTCTAACGTTCCATGTTGCGTAGGTTCTAGGTTTTGCGCTTTTAGGGTCTCCACCCAGCATTTGAGTTTAGATGCATATCTTTTTTCATCAGCTGTGTCTGTCAGTAATTTGGGAAAATCTCCAGGAAAGACTGTTTGATGGTAAATAATTCTGAGCTGTGGCATGTGCTCAAACTCGTCTTTGTCCGCTTGTAACTTATCTGGATGCAATCGTCGTGGGGTTGTATGATTTGGTGGTCCTGTGGTAGGGTAGATGGGTTAGTTTTCAGGTTAGGGTTAGGTTATAAAAATAGTTTTCAAGAAATTGGTTCTAGATAAAATGCATTCATAACAATTTCACGTATTTTTTGATTTACAACTTACATTAATCAGTCGGTGATCCAAATACAATGTCTGCAGCTTATTAGGATCAATTTCCGAGATGCGGTGACGAATACAACAAACCTCCTAGTATGGACTTTTTTTCCTCATAGGTGAGGTAAGAGGCCCAAGTACAAAGGCAAAGCGCCTTTAATAATGAATAATGTAATAAAAGTCCAACAATGATACCAAATGATTTCGATTTTAAAGTTTTATCGGGAGAAAGTAACGCACATTATTCACTTAAAATGTGTCTTTAAAAATGTAAAAATTGGAGATAAAATCAGTTTCATCATAATTAATAACATTATCATCGTTATCGTCAATATCATCATTATCAACATGATACTAGTTTCCGAAATAACAACAACAATCAATCACGGTTTTGGCAAATAAATCAAGGAGTTCCCGCAGTACATGCATTATGAGTCCACTTTTTACATTCTTGGCATTGCATCCAGTTCACGAGATTTGCTATAAGAAAATTGATCCCCACATATCACACATGGCCTTCTTCCTCAGTACTTGATTCAGTCAGGGCGATTTTTTTCATTTTAACTATTCTTTCTTATAGTGGTTTCATGTCTTTTGTACAAGTTTGTTTTGTTTTTAGTTGTATTTTTTGTTTTAATCTTCCTAGTCAATTTTGCTTCAGTTGACATAGCTTTCTCTTCGAGTTCTTTCTTGAATGGTGAAGAAGTTATTAACTTTGATGATTCTGGTTCACGTTTCTTATTTCTGCCACCTGATATCTTTGGCAATGGAGACAAATTTTAATCACATCTTATTAATTTAACTTATTATTAATAAAAGATCAATTTCTTTAAATATTCAAAATGCATTATTTTATTATTTTGACTCACCTTGTGGATCATGATTGTTGAGGTCATGTGATGACTGATCCAGATTAGTCTCAATCTGCACACCAGATGTTTTCTAAAATTGAAATTGTAGATAAGTGACAGCTGCTTGATAATCTTCATCAGAGAAAATATTATTAACAAATGGCCATAGTCCACAAGTCTTGAATCCATGAACTGCTTTTTCAGGAGTTGATGTACGAAGAAATGCTTTTTCAAATAAACCAGCTGTATCATAAAAGCTGATTCTTTTACTAGGGTTTGACACTGACCAGTTATTACAAGCCACATTATAAGCACCTTTTAGTGATTTAAGTTATGTCTTGTCAAGTGTTGCTGTTTATTAGTACTATGTTAATGTTAACATATAAGTAAATGTTAACATGTGTAGCCTTTGCTACGTGCTAAATTTATAGCTGTTATGGCTGATAATAAAATAATCTAATAATCTGTCATCTAATAAAATAATAGTAGGATTTTTTTTGGAAGCGTTTGAGCATTTTGAAAAATGTTTCAACCATTTGGTAAATAGTGCTGAATCAGTCCAACCATTTGGACTAGTGTGTCCAACAGATTTTGGGGGTGCTCTTCTAAGTAAAGAATCAGTCATTCTTTGGCGAAGGTATATGAACATGGGTGACAGGAAATTGAATGCACAAATGACTGTTGTTGTTGAACCACTTTCTCCACTATTGATTTTACCTACAGCTCTTTTACCTTTTTTAGCAACAATTTTAACAAATTTACTTGGGATATGCACATTGGTTACACCTGTTTCACCTATATACCATATGTGGGAAGAAGTACAAGAAATGTCAATGAGCAGTTGTTTATAAACTTCAAATTATCAACGACGAACATACACAGCGGGTATGAATACGCCTATAAAACCAGGCATCATACACATGATAGGTGGAGATCTTTTTGTATTCGAACCTTGTCACTTAACCATTGAGCCATTTGACAGCCAAAATATTTTTTTTTTTTTATTTTACATCAATTTTACTAAGACATTAACTGATTTTGATTGTATTTTGAAATATTTTTTACTCGGTAGTGAAATTATGAAAAATTTTTCCAGTACGTTTTAAAACATAAAAATAAAGTAAAGAAATACAATTACTTTGACTGATTTTGAGTATTTTTCAAATATTTTCTATTTATTAATGATAATAATGTGAATGTATGATACAAAACTTTTAAAAAGTTAATGAAAGTGCTACAACTTACGTCTCATGTCTGATATTGACATTTGGATAAACGAAAAAAAAAATTAAGACCCTAGTGTTTGGTATTATGAAAGCCAAAAATCACAATATTTCATAGTAGAGTTACAGCTTCTTGCTTTTGATTAAATTTAATAAGAGCTGACCAGTGCTCTGCAAATTTTTTTTTACCTCACAGACTGGTTTAAATTTGAAGGGCTTCACGAAACAACTAATTATATAACCAAAATACCATGAAACTATAAATAAAAACCTAACCTTAATCCTAAATATTTCTAACAATTTTAATAATTTGGAATTTAATTTACTTCGTTCAAATAAAAACAAAGCTTTTTTAACAATTTCTGCAAACTTTCACGTGTTTATTGTATCACAGTCAACCTTCCATGCTAGAGTTGAGCATGAGAACCGAAATTGCGGTTTTCATGGGATTCTCATGGGAATAGGTGAAACCTTATTTTTGGGAATGGGAATTTTACGGATTATAAAATCTATATTCGGGAATTGAGAATGATGATCGGAAATGGGAAAAAATAGGGAAAACATGCAAAAAGTTATAAATATTAAATTTTATCAAATGTCATTCTCTACGCAACTCAACACATGTTCGTGTGCGTTAACAAAGAAGATAATTGCGTATCACTCGTTTTTAAACAGTTGACCGCGTTTACGCATTTTTATCTACCAAGATATTTTATACAATTTTAATGTTTTTAGAAGTTATTATTTATTTTTTCAAAATCAGTATTTTTAAAAATTTAATTAGATATTGTTGACCAACCGAGATCGTTCAAGCCTATACTGAATGCTTCAACCGGATGTTATGAAATAGGATCGGTAGCTTCTGGAACAGAAATCCAATTCGTTTTTTCAGTGGTCGTTGCATTGGCTGCTAATTTAACTCAAGTGAGTGGTTGGATATATTTTTAATGACTTAAATTTCAGAGTAAAGTTGGATATATTTTTAATATCTAAAATAAAATTTTATGTGACATTCAGTAAAATTCTAATAATTCTAAATAAGCTGGAGTTTAAATTTATAGTGAATAAAAAAAATAAATATAGTAATTTGCAAGTAAACTACACGTAGGTAAAAGGACTTAAATTTTTGGTTTAATAAATATTTTGCGCTTATAATTTAATACAGTTTTTTTTAGAGTAACTATGTTTTAACTGATTTTAAAAAAATTGAGTATGATGAAAGTTGAGTGTTAAAGCCGGAAGAACTTTAAAATATCCGACTTCGGATATTTTTTATCAAGAGTGTTATGAATTTGAAAAAAAATGTATTATTTTTTTCGAAAAATTTTTTTTAACATCGTATTTTGTAAAAGATGAATTGAAAACGTCTAGCGATATGCAATCGTTTTTTATACTGAAAATAAGAGCTAATAAGGTGAATAAAATCACTTTTTTTTCAGTATGTTTTTAAAATGAATAAAAAGTAATTTTGCCAACAAAAATTGATTGGTTTTAGGTGTTTTTAAAGTATTTTTTATTTACTAGTTATATTTAGTTTATGATGTAAACGTTGAAACATTTTTATTAACGTTTTATTGATTCAATGTTGGCACGATAAGCAGAGGTGAATAGGTAAAAAGACAAAAGTATAAATTAAAATAAGTCCATAAATAAATGTACATAATAAATACCATATGTTTATGAGATAACAATTTTAAAAAGCGTATTTTAATACTTAATAAATCGATCGCTCGATGTATAAGAAATTAATTTTACTTAAAAATGTGTGAATTTATTTGGAACATTAAAAGTTATGCAAAATAATATTTACGCAAATTGTTTAACATCATTTTGTTTACATCTGCAAACCGGTATCAATAGTTTCTGTGTTTTGACAAATTCCTAAATTTTAAAATTTTCCAGTTTTATTGATTCAATGTTGGCACGATAAGCAGAGGTGAATAGGTAAAAAGACAAAAGTATAAATTAAAATAAGTCCATAAATAAATGTACATAATAAATACCATACATATGTTTATGAGATAACAATTTTAAAAAGCGTATTTTAATACTTAATAAATCGATCGCTCGATGTATAAGAAAAAAAGAAGTTGTAAGAGATGTAGAGATAATAAACTTTTAGGCATGTCAAAAGAAAAACGGAAAAGTGCACAATTTGAACAACCTAGAAAATCTAAAAAGAAGATTTGTTTTTTTCGACTTTATGTAATGTTGTGTGATAAACACACCAAGGCTCATATTGCTTTTATATCCAGGAATTGGAATGTTCGATGTAATTTTATTATTAACAATTCAATAATTAAATTCGTTTAATTATTATTTGCTTGATAGTGATAATTTTCCACGGTACTATATATGGTAAAATAGTCTGATTCATATAATTTTTATTTATTAAATCTTTTTTTAAATACAGTTGTTACATGATGACAGTATCGTTGATGCGTCATCCGGTTACTTTTTTTACTACAACCTCATTGATTTAGATGTAACGACAGAGGTATTTTATGATTTATCTAATCCAAAATTTAAAGTAGATCGAACCTATGTCAAGATAATAGGGGATTGTAATGATGTTAAAAATTATTTCAGTGAAATTGAAAATTTTGAAGTTGGTATACTTTTTTTATTTCACGCGTAAATTTTCCAATCGATTTTTAACATTTTAAGCTTTATTGTTTATTAAACAGAATCTGTTGAATCTGTGCTAAATGTATTAATCAAATCTGTTGAAACATGCAACATGTAAAATGTATCAATCAATCAAAAACAGAATTACATATAATTGTTATGACTACTTCAATACTCGAAAGGCTGTTGTGCAAATCGCGCTTAATTATTTTCATTTAATTATTATCTTGATTCTATGTTTCCACTACAATTATTTGTTAAAATGAAGCTAGATCAAAATTTGTCGTATATAAGCACTGCTCGAGTTAATGTAAGAAGTTGGATTATAGAGTTGCGCTGGAATGTATTTATTGGCGATTATGCGACATCGGCCATATTTTTGAGATTGTTATTATTATTATACGTAGAGTTTATACAGCGCTCATTCAAGTTCTCATGAACGCTTTATCCCACAAGTGCGCTCGTATTCTCTTTCTAAAGACAGTCTCATCAACTTCATTGGTCTTCAATTCTGTTGGTAAACTATTCCAAATCAAATTACCGCAAAACTTCTTGAAGCTGTCGATGACTTAGCCCACGGTATCAGAAGATTATTGTATTTTGAGGACCTTGGGATTTCGGAGCCGCACCTGTGAAACATCGCTTCACCATCACCAAAACTTTGGTAGCCAATGTAACTTACAAAAAATTGGAGTTACATGAGCAATGAACAAAACTGCTCGGTTTTGTACTGTATATATTGTATATTTTGTATATATTGTTGACTTCGGGCATCTGCTCAGCAAACTGTTGCATAGTCGACTCGACTGACCACGAATGCATGGATCAATGATTTTGTTTTGTCCAAATCAAGGGAAGCTCTTTTTCGGCCAATCAGATGAGTTAGTGCTGTCTCAGTCGAATGATGCTTGTGCATACGGCATCAAGTTCTGTTTGTCCAGTCTTCGTACTTTTTCCATTAACGTCGTACATTCTTGCCATTAACTTAGACAAAAAAATTTGGAAACCGGTCTGTAATTGCCTGGAAGAGATACATCTGACTGGGGTTCCATTAACAACGTAACAATATCACGCTTGGCCAACCGGAAAAATTTTGTCTCATAAAGATGCATTCACCATGGCAGTTATGAACGGCAGAATATCTAAAAACTCTTTGACAACGTATGTTGGGACAAAATCACCGAAGCAGATCGTTGTAAACTTTTTCTGTGCAATGTTCAAAATTGTCCAACACTATAACAGCTAACTTTTCGATTACCGGAAAATCATAATGCCGAGTCGCTGCTTTTACTTTATCAACCATGTCTTCAAAGTATTTAAGAAAATCTTTAGATGTGAGTTCCGCCGTATTTACATTTTTATTCATCATCTTGTTCAAAGCTGAGAAGGATTGCTTTTGCAAGATGCCATCTGATTTTGCCAATAACCATTTTTTTTGTCTATCAGCAACATTTTTTTGTCCTGCAGGGCATCATACCAATTTTTTCTACCATCATCACACCCTCTGTCTTACGATATTTCTTTTCCAACCTCCTATATACCATCGTCTAGTCTGAACACAATCTTCATCAAACCAAGGAGTTACCGGACACAATATACTAATTAATCAATTCACCTTTTTAATTGGTGCATATTCATTTTCCAAACGTCGTAACTCCGTAACATAGCATTTTATCAAATCGTCAGCGCAGGCATCATCAGCCAGTGATGTCGTCATCAAGGAACTCCTAAATGCAGCATTGTCATATCTCCTCCAACATCGTACTAATTTTGTTATTATGTATGGTTTAGCTTTGCGCATGGGGCACAGACACGTCACCGGGACATGGTCTGAAAATTCTCCTGGTGTTCCCACAGTGACATCCGTTATTTCGGACCCGATGTAGCGGCCACAAAATCCAATGTTCCATGCTTAACGTGAGTTTCACCGTGCACGAACCTGACCATATCAAATGTTACAAGGAATTCTTCCATCCGCCTTGCATTTAGGTTATCAACTTCCTTTAGATGAATGTTAAAATCACAAGTTTACAACTAATTAATCAGTAAAATTTAAGTTTGAAAACTTATTTAAACAGCAAAAACAACTTTTAACCAATTTCTATTACTACGCTGAGAGCTTGATACGCTTGCTCAAATACATAATTAATAACTCCGTCCTTGAAAATTATTCACTTGAACAATAAACTTTTGAGACCACTTAAAACAATTTGAAGCAAGATTAAAATCAAGTCTACAACCAAATAATCATTGATTTTAAAAACTTATTTCAATTTTTTAAACAACAAAAACGATTTTGAGACACCAATATTCCAATAATATAGCGCACTTCTCGTCACACGATTTGTCAGAAGACAAGCGCAATGTAGTAACGCTAACTAGACTAATGATTTGCTGTTTCTATTACTGTTGTCATTTAACAAGTCTGTGTTTGAAGCAGTTGTGTTTATATATTAGAAATCAGTGAACCTACGGTAGATTGAATAGCTTGAAGATGGTGTAAGTTCCAATACTGGTGTCAGAAGCGGATCTTTGAAGGCGGTTTTAAACGAAAGTGACGAGCGATCCTGATGAGTTCTATTTTCCGAATCCTGTATATCTTTCCGAAGCCTTCAGTGATAGCCGAAAAACGAACAGCCACGAAATGAACCGCACCTAATGAAGTAAAACAGGTCCAAGTGACAATCGGGAACAACGCGGGTAAAAATTAATAGCGTAAAATGTTTGACCTGATCGAACCAGCAACAGCTATATAAAATCTTCATTCTTCTATCTTCTTCAACAGCGGCTTCATTGCTGACGGAGAGGAGTTTTTTATTGCTCCATTTTGATTGATAAGAAAAGACGTCAACAACAAATGTTACAACATGCATCTATGCTATATGTCTATTGTCTAGTCGTTCTACACCTCCTAAACTCAATAAAAAAAAGCACTTGCTTCAAGTGCCAACAAAACCAACAAAACTAAAAAAGGATTACAACGTTTACCTACAGCTAAAGGCTCCGTAACAATAAAAAAACCCAGCATGACCTGATGGAAAATAAGGCATGTTTCAAAAGCAAATACTTTGTGTGGTTATGCAACTCACGGCGCAAAAAAGAGTGATGCCCGAAACTTCAAGAAAGTCCATTAAAATTCATTAATAGAATAAACGAGTGATTTACAGAATTAATGATCATAAAAGACAGCGTGCAAAGATAAAGGTTGGCCCTATTTATCGGAAAGTTGATAAAACCATTTTCTGCAAACATTATTTACATGATCTTTCAACACCGAGATGGCGAAAATCAGTCATCGTGGCTTGCCAAATCAGAAGTGCGGTTTTTTTAACTTTAAACTCCAATTTATCAACTGACATTGGGTAATAAGGTTTATCCAGTTTGTCGTTTTTTGCTGTAGATTTTGCGATGATTTCCTAGGGCAGAAACCGTATTGACAGATATCAGCAGCATACAAATGACATTGGAAACAACTTTTTTAATATTTTCAATTGTCAGACATGTATAACATATTCAGCAGTGGCCCAAAGAATAATCTTTGCGTAAAACGTAAACCGTTGATGCAATAAAAAACCAATAATTGATATTGACCACATATATTGACCACGTTTCAATTGAGGATGGAGCAAATGGGCCTTTTGCAGATTTTATCATTTCGTTGTAATTATAGTAAATTTTGAGGTTAAATGTGTTGATTGATAGTTTATATTTGCAGAGACTTGAACTTCATTAGAATTAGTTGACTAAATAAGGTATTATAGAAATGAAAAATTTTGGAACATAAAATCTTAAGAAATGTCAGAAGCAGTTTGATAAACCTGGTTTTTAAAATTTTTTATTTAGATTCATTTATGCTGTAAAAGTCAAGTTCTTGGTAGCTGTCACGTTCCTGTGAAAAACTTGATAGATTCTGACTTTAAAATTAACTCTATTGAGGGAGTTTTTCAGGTTGTTTTTCAATATTTTCAATCAATTTGTATCTTAGTAAATATGTTTTTTTTTTTATCTGAAATAATTATGATAATTTTAGATACTTCCACCGAACTCGCCGATAAACAATAAAGTGATTGCTGATGAGTTGAAACCGATTTTAGGAATAGCCATTGAACTAAAAATAGTTAATGAGGTATAATTTTCAATACATCTACAAAAGTTATATATCTTTAAGCTCTAATTTTCACTTTTAGTCTATATGATTCATCGAACATGTTTTTACTATTATTATTTTTATTTTTCAACTATTACTTTGGTAAATAGGTTAATACCTATTTGGTTAGTGGTTTTTTTTATATATATGCTGTTTTACTGGTAAAATGTTTTTAAAAACCACATTCATTCGTTCGGTTCAGTTAGCAAAACGTCTTTCAGTTCGGCTCTAGTTTTCGCTCCTGAAAAATTATAGGTGTTTTCTGTTTTTTTTCGAACTTAGTTTTTTTTTTATTCGCAGAAACTGTTGCAAGCATGCGAGGCAGTAGTACAAAATTAAACGAATAAGTAGATAAATAAATAAAAAAACGGAGAAAGAAAAATGTTTAAAAATGAAAAATAAAATAAAATAGAATAAATAATTAATAATAAAATTAATAAAAGAAAATAATCTAAATTGACAATAAAATAAGGTAATGGCATAAAAACTCAAATTAATAGTCTAGAAAATGACAGTGGGTTAGTTTGGTGATCGATAAATAAAAACTAGTCTGTGAATGAATAAGTTTTATTAAATAAAAACTAGTTGTGTGAATGATAAAGTTTTAAATGCATATAACAGACATCCCACTATCACCACAGTATCAAACTAAATTTTACAACTTGTGAATAATAAGTAAACAACAAAAATGTTTTTAAAGTTGTCAGTATAAAAGAAACGTTGTAATATTTTTATAATTTTCTTAATGTCCAAAACAAAACTTTTTTTCTAGTAAATCTTGTTATTGCATAAAAAATATAAGATTTCGTCAATTATTAAACCTAAAATTTTATAACTGAGCTACTCTTATGTCACTTTCTAACTTTTCATTATTTAATGCATGTTTTTATTAAAACGTGGCTATGGTCATTTTTTTTTAATTATTTTCTTTCTATATAGGCAACACCTTTTTTATCTTTGTGATGCTGCTTTGTCGTTGCTTCTAAGCTTGTAATATTCGTGCCACAAAGACTGTACATTCTACACAACACGTGCACATACACATTACGCATCAAACGCGCATGATAGTTTAAGTTCCGGACAGACAGTTTTTGAACCATGATTGCAAGGCGAAATGACACTTCTATTTTAAACAATTTTATCACCAATTGACGGTGACATTCAAGTTCACGTTACGTTTAAGTTTACTCTTATTACTGTTGAACTAGAAATTAATTTTTTTTTGGGTTTCAATTATTTTTTTAAATTAAATTAATGTTTCGCATATTTCATTTAATTGATTAAAATGAATTTTAAATCAGATAACTGCCATTGATAATCCAGCCCCAATACCTGATACAAAAATTTCATTGGCTTCTTTCCAACTGGATGTGCATCCCAAATCTACTGGAAATTTATCTTCTGATACTAAACTCCTTGAAAATGCTGTTTACGAATATATAAATTTATCTCCTGATTCAAATGGTAGTGTTTGATTTATGTGCGTTACGGCTTCTTTTAAAATAAAATAAATGCACTTTTAGCGTTTGCATCATTTTAAGCTTCGTTTTTACGTTTTTAACCAACCAAGTTTCATATCCGAGCGTCATCATCTTCATGTTGATTTATGTTTCCTTTTATTTGTTATAATTTCAACAAAAATGTTATTGTGTTGGTATTATTATATTTTAATTATACAATTTAATGCAATTTGCTGCATATGGCCGTGTTTTTTGTCAGATTAATGTTGGTGACCGTTATAGTATTTCCGTGGTGATCGTAATAAATTTTTTTTTATCGTAAATATATATGCATGTATGTAGATACCTTCACACTTCTTTGTAACCTATTTGGTTTTATAGACAACGTACCACACATTTAGCAAATATATATATATATATATATATATATATATATTAACGTCCTACCTCGGGAAACCGGGTCTCTGGACAGAAAACGAAGATTGATTGATTGATTAATATATATATATATATTAGCAAAATGTGTGGTACAAATACTATATATATATATATATTTATTTATATATATATATATATATATATACATATATATATATGTATATAAGCAAAATGTGTGGTACGTGGTCTATATATATATATATAGACTATGGTGATTATATATATATATATAGACCATATATTTATATAGACCATATATATATATATACATATATATATATATCATATATATATCATTTTATATATATATATATATATATATATTAGCAAAATGAGTGGTACGTTATCTTTATAAAACCAAATAGGTTACAAAGAAGTGTGAAAGTTTTCCACTTTATAGTTACCTGTTTGTTTTTCCAGTTTTATCATATACTGGTCATTTTATTTTATGATAATTCTTTGGAAAACCAAATTATTAGTTGAAATTTCAATTTAAAAGTATCAATTATAATTTCGAATGATTTTCAATTTCAAGATGTCCATAATAAAGTCAACTCTAAAATTGACGGTAATCATCATTTAGGGTAGTAATAACATTGTTTAACAAAAGAATAAATTTTTCTAGATACTCATTGTCATGATAAGAAAAATAGTGTGCTTCAATTTGAACATGGCGAAAATGTTCATGGAACCGAAGCCTCAGAAACAGCAATACACCATTATAATCTATCAATTGATTTACGAATGTTGTCTAATTTCATCACTAACAAACCTTTGAACATTTATCTCAGGTTTGTTCTATTGATTTTGGATGTGTTTCCTATTATGACACTCTTTTAAAATTGACTGTAAAATTATTATTAAATAAAGAAAGTAAACATTATTGGAAATGATTAAGATATATGAACTTAATTATTGAATTATTGAGTCGAAATGATTATAATATATTTTGATTATATAAGCAACAAGTTTTCACAGATTAATAACAAGTCTAATTCCACAAAAGTTTTACGGTATTATCTAATTTAACGATATAACGTGTTATTTTTGCTGTTTTAATCTGTTTCTGTTTTTTAGTAAGACAAATTACAGACAAGTACCAGTGTGATTAAAATATCTTTTAAAAGAGATAAAATAGATAAAATATTTTTTTTATCTGTTTATAGTTAAAATAAAAATATATACGGTTAAAGATAAAATCATGATTTATGGATATATTGGCCTTTAAACTTGCAGCAGTCAACCTCTATCGCACAGATCTGTCAGATATTAACAATCAAACATTATTCAGTCTTATTAATAATATTGCAATTGGTAGGGTAATAGTTGCATTTTGATTGTTCTAGGATTATATTTTTTGAATGAATTTTAAAGTTGCTGTTTAATTAAAACCATTCACAGACATCATAACATTTTTTGAAATGAATCAGCTGTAGTGTTATTTATTATAGAATTTTAATAATTTAAAAATTAATACTATAAAAAGTATATTCTAGTCAATATTACTGTCAATAGCCATATCAGTTATATTCTCATTGCATGAATAAGTATGAAGGATGTCAAACCTAAAAGGATGCCAGATTAAGAGCTTGTTGCATTTGGGTGTTGGGCAGTAAAAATGCTTCAGTCAAACCGATACATCATATATAGAGAAAAATGTTCAAACACTTCAGTGCCTTTTGAACAATTTTTTTGTTTTTTGTGAAAAAAAGTTTGCCAAAAATACTGCTAGATTTTTTAAAAGTTGCAATTTTAAATTTTTTATTACGGCAAGATTTTTTAAAAGTTGCATTCAAATTATTTAAATTTTTTTTATATAAAACTTTATTAATTTACTATCATTAAATTTTTAATATTGTTTTTCTATTACATAAAATAGGTATGCCTACTCTTTTTTTGGTAATGCTCAACCCATCACAACTTTTCCATGGGTAGAAATTAAGCCAGGATTATCGACGGTAAAGGTTCATCATTCATTTTGCTCATTAGATTTTGCCACATCATA